CCAAACAAACAAAAAAAAAAAAGTCATAATCACATTAGGGAGGAAAAACAAAAAAAAGGAGGCCACAATCTCATTCGAAAGAGAAAAAATAATAAAATTACTTGGAGGTCAGCCTGTGGTCCTGCAAAGGGTTATTATTTCACTGCAGCGGACGGTGACATGGCACATGTGCTAAGAAAGGGGAAAAGGTTGTCATTTGGGATTTATATGGGCCTGTATTGCCACAAGTTGTCACAGGCCATACTAACACTGGGACTTTTCTGAAATGAATCTGGCTGTAAACACGTGTACGTACATCCAGTAAAATCCTCATACGAGTACGTGTCCTCATCTGGTCCAAGTGCCTCTCTGTCAGAGTGTACCTCCACGTCAGAAACACAGAAATAGGAAGGAAAAAACAGAGGATAATCTCTGTGACAGTGTACCTCCACGTCTTTTTTTTTTTTTTTTTTTTCTTTGGGACCACGTCAGAAACACAGAAATAGGAAGGAGAAAAAGCGAAGGATGGAATGCACCCAGACTCCTTTTTTTTTTTTTTTTTTTTTCCCTTTTTTGAAGGCCATTTCTGCAAGGCCTCTATCCCGGCGGTGGTGAGAGAACCACCAGGGGCGTGGTCCCACTAGCAAAAAGGATCGGACCGAATGCCTGAATCTGGACGAGTTTACGGAGATGTGCAGGAAATCGAGATTGAACCACTTTTCTGCATCTCTGCTTAAAACACATTCAGATTCACGAGCTCGATAGTGGGACCTCGGCCCAGGAGACCCATAATGCGTATAGGGATGTGTAATTGTCCAGTTGTGTTGGTACTGAGGAGGCAAAGGGCTTTGCCTTACCACTCGCCGAACGCCAACATTTTGAATGAATCCGGACTGGTTTCTTGTCCTGGTATTTGAATGTATCTGGACTGTTTTTTGTCCTAGTATTTGAATGTATCGGGACTGGTTTCTTCTGCCCGTACATTCACAATCTTGGTGTTTGGGGAGTTGTGTGGTGAGCTCCGAAGTTGGTGAACTTTGGAGTCAAACAAATCATAACCTTATTATTACCATTGTGTCAAAGAGCCCCTTTTCTTGCCTTTTTTTTCTTTTTTTGGGTCCCCTCCCCCCAGCCCCGGCCCCGGCCTCCCTCTTTTTGCTTGTTTGCTTGTTTGCTTGTTTTTCGAGTACTTGGCCCACGCGCCGGTAGTTGCGGGCTTCGGGGCACCGAACCACAATGGCTGGGAGCCCCAGTCAAAATCAAAACGAAACAGTGCCCCGACGGCTAGGCAAAACTTGGTGCGCAGGGGGTATCCCGACTCGGCATCAATAGCTGGGCCAAGTACTGGTGGTTTAACCGCCAGTACACGGCCCCAGCCTTGCTGAAAATGTTTCGTCGCCTACTCCGAAAATTTTGCATGAGGGCCTGCGGGACCACAATGGCTGGCGGCACCAGCCAGAAAAGAAAAGAAAGTGATCCATTGGCGGTTCGACAAAGCTTGGAGCGCAGTAGAGCACCTCCAGGCACGGGTGTAGTGGTGGTTCAAACCATCAGTATAAGGGTGTCGCTCCACCACTGTCCGCTATACAGAATTTCGTATAGCTGCCGTATGGCTGTCAGAGCTAAAAAAATCGTATAAAGTTTACTATAAACCGTGGTGTCGCTCCACTTCCTATCTGCTATACAAGTCTCCAATTCCTGAGTTCACTACAAAATACCCGTACAGCACTACACGACAGCAATGTGTCGGCCCAGACTCCAGGTGCTCCATACTATTTCGCGGTAGAACGCCGACCTCCTTGAAGTCCGACCACCCTCCGAGTACTAAGGACTTTTGCAGGCTGGGAACTACACGGGATCGTATGGTGAATTTTGAAGGGCGGCATCTGACAACTATACGGTGGTTTCTGAAGTTACAGTTCGGATAGTAAGTGGAGTGGTGTCCCACTATCCGAAATCGTACAGCAGATAGTAGTGGAGCGAGACCCTAAGTTCCTACCCGTTTTTCTCTGACGCTTCCGTATGCCGGCCACAAGTGTCAGGGGTCGGCCTATGGGAGCAAAATGGCTGATGGCGCCAGTTAAAAGAAGCCTGACGTTGGTTCGTTCTTGTTTGGCGGGGCCCGGACGTTTCCAGGCGTGGCAAGGGAAGGGTCAAGACTCAAAAGTGGTACTGGTCGGCTAAAAAGAAAAGGAAAAAAAAAAAGGAAAAGGAAAGGGAAAAGGAAAAGGGTTCCACATCGTCGTCTTCATACCAGCCTGTCATCCGGGGAACGCCCAAAGGTTTCAGGTGCGTCAAATATTCGCCGAAGGTTCATCTATGGTGATGGGGAGCTGGACCTGGTAGGCAACCTGGGCCATGATCCCCCTACGGCTTTTTTTTGTCTTTTTTGGGAAAACTAGGGCGCAATCACGATTTCAGTTTGAAAATGCTTTTCAGTCACAATTTTCGCGAATGTTGTGCCAAAGCGGGGAAAATAGTGAATGTATACAAACCTAGCTTTAGGGTGGGATGCCTCCTGAAGTGGATTTTAAACTGAAATGGTGACTGCGCCCTAGTTACCTCCCTTTACACCACTAAAGAATCCTTCCTCGTTCCACACCACTAAAGCTGTCTCTTATACACATCTAGATGTGTATAAGAGACAGGTTGTAGCCCCCTCATCCAAACGAACGCATTCCTCGTCGCCAGCAAACGATCGCTTGTCCAATTCACCGCGAGTTCCCTGCCCCTCCTCAGGCT